GAATTAAGGGGAATTGCGGAAGAAGAAGATTTTAAAATGGAAAAACGACGCCAATGAACAAAGTAGGCAACGGAAGAAAAGGCTTGTGGTGTTTTTTTTTAGGAAGAAGTAGGACAAAGTAGCAGCCCTTATGGAGGCGTTAGGAACGGACGAGGTCGAACTGCAGGAGGTGTCATCGGTGGAACCATGGGAGCAGCCATTCAACCAGCTGCAAGAGCTTGTATTAAGTTTGGCGAACTCCCTAAAACCTATTGAATTAGCGCTAAAGCCAGAAGCAGCGGCACGAAACAACGATGGAAATGAGTCGGTAAGAACGGGAGCAGCAACGGTAGGCGGAGTAGAGGCTCCTGAACCCTCACCGCAACGAGGCCTACCAGTGCAGATGGTGCATACGCAAAGTGTATCAGAAATAGTGGGAGTCCTTCCAGAGTTTGACCCGGTACGGAAAGCAATGACAGCGCAACAGTTCGTAACGAAAGTGGAGCAGTTACAACAAGTGTACCGTTGGAAAAGCGAAACCGTGCTTTTAGCAGTTCAACACAAGCTGAAAGGAGTTGCCAAGAATTGGTTAGATGCGCAACCTGTGTTCAAATCGTGGGCGGAATTTGTCCAAATGTTATTGAAGGACTTTCCGTATACAGTGACATCAGCAGACGTTCATCGGGAGTTGGCAGCATGACCAAACGAGACACTCATAGAATATTTTTATGAAATGCTGGCGATAGGAAGGCGTGGCGCCATTGATGAGGAATCAATAAATTCCTACGTTACCAACGGCTTAAACGACATTACGCTCACACGAACGTTATGGGCAATGAATGTGCGAACAAGCAACGAACTAAGGCAGTCCCTGGAAAGTATGCGTGCGACGACCCAAGGGTATGGACAACGTGTCCCTCCAAGTACTAACTCATCCGATGTAAGCCCGGTTCCGGTTGAATAAAAAGGCAAACGTGTTAAATGTTACAATTGCAACGGATTCGGACATATAGCGGCAAAATGTCCACAACCTTCGAAGAAACCACGATGCAGTAAATGTTCAAAGGTTGGACATGAGACAAAGAAGTGCACAGCGGAATCAAAAGTGACGGTTGCTAAGATCGACAGCAACATAAGTGAGCAAAAGTGTATTCCGCCAATCGTCGAAGAAGTCGAAGGTGAAGGGGTAAGGTATCAAGCTTTAATAGATACCGGCAGCGACACTCGCTAATAAGGCAGTCATCTGCTATGGCTTACGCACAGACGGAGCCGACGCATCAACGGTTGCAAGGGTTTGGTGGTTCAATTGTTGAGGTAACACGAATTGTAAAAATGCGAATCAAGTTTGGCGACAAGGTCATTGAGGCAAATCTGTACGAGNTCTACTATGGCTGACGCACAGACGAAGCCGACGTATCAACGGTTGTAAGGAATCAAGTTTGGCGACAAGGTCATTGAGGCAAATCTGTACGAGGTCCCGAACAACATGCTCAACTATGATCTGTTGCTTGGAAGGGATGTGCTGTGAGGGCAGGATAAACGGTTGATCATTGACGCAGGGTCCATGATGCTGCAAATTAAAACCACGAACCAGTTTAACGTTAATAAAGATCTGAAGGAGGACGAAAGGCAGAAGGTACAAAAACTGTTAGCGGATTACGATGTCTGTTTCGCAGAGGGTATTTCCACGCTGGGCAGATGCAAGACAACGTTGATGAACATTGAGGTTGCTACTCCAGGTCCGATTGTAGGTAAACGGTACCAAGTACCATTCGCGAAGCAGCAAGAGCTATCAACGATATTGAAGGAGCTATTGGCNGTCAACGATATTGAAGGAGCTATTGGCTAACAACATTATTCGGCCCAGTGTATCACCCCATGCAGCATCCGTAGTTCTGATAACAAAGGCCAACGGCGAGAGCAGAATGTGCGTAGATTATCGCGCGTTAAATGCGGTAACCGTGCGGAAACATTTTCCGATGCCAGTGGTTGAAGAACAATTGTCAAAGTTAAGTGGCGGGCGATTTTTCACAACGTTAGACATGACCAGCGGGTATTATCAGATACCCATAGAAGAAGAGTGCAAGAAATTCACAGCATTCTTCACACACGAAGGCTTGTATGAATTCAATGTAATGCCATTCGGTTTAGTAAACGCGCCGATGGTATTCCAAGAGATGGTCATACGAACGATATCAACACTCAAATCACGAAACAAGGTCGTTAGCTACGTCGACGAGCTAATTATAGCCACATCGTCGTACGAAGATGGTATTACGGTACTACAAGAGGTTTTGGAATCGGTGAAGCGAGACGGTCTGACATTGCAGCCTTCTAAGTGCGTGTTCCTCTCCAGTGAAGTCAGCTTCTTAGGACACGAGATTTCCAGAGCGGGTATAGCACCAGGAGAGGCGAAGACGTGGTGTATTAAAGAGTTCCCACAGCCAACAAATGTAACTCAGGTAAGGCAATTCCTGGGCTTAACTGGATTCTTCCGAAAATTTGTAGGGGGATACAGTCAGATAGCAACCCCATTAACCACGCTATTGAGGAAGGACGTTAGCTTCCAATGGGCAACACCACAGCAGGAAGCATTCACGAATTTGAAAGAGGCTATAACCAGTAAGCCGGTACTGACTTTGTACGACCCTCACAAAGAGCATGACGTACATACGGATGCCAGTCACGTAGGACTATCCGGAATTCTGTTCCAGCGCGAAGACGACGGGGAAAAACCAGTTTTCTTCTACAGCCGCCAGTGTAGCGAAGTAGAAGCACGGTTTCCAAGTCACGAGCTGGAAGTACTTGCGATAGTCGAAACGTTAACCCGATTTCGCATGTATCTTCTCGGCAAGCCATTCACTGTGGTAACCAACTGTAACGCTATCGTTACCACAAAAGCAACAACACCACTACTCCCGCGATTGCTAGATGGTGGTTGAGACTGCAGGAGTACGACTTTAAGACTGTTCATCGGCAAGGCCATAAAATGCAGCATGTCGACGGGATGAGCCGAGCACCTAGCTTACCGCCAAGTATGTGTCAAACGGTAGCCGAAAGCATTTTAGCTGTCACCACTGAAGGTAGCATCGATTGGGTATTCTTGATGCAAATGCAAGATCAGAAATTGCAAGAAATCGCAACAACGTTAAAGTCAACATCCACATCCGCAAAGCAAAATCAACAAGATTACGAGCTACACAGAGGAAGGTTATATCGCAAGATTAATGGCGAGCGGCGTTTGGTAATTCCTCAAGCGATAAGATGGCGAATCACGAAAGCATGCCATGATGACTCAGGGCATTTCGGCATTGAGAAGACTCTGCAGCGGATTCAGCGAGACTTTTGGTTTCATCGAATGAGGCGGTACGTTAAGAGTTATATAGCGGCGTGCCCAGAGTGATGCATCTACAAGGTTCGGGGAGGCAAGGCCGAGGGGCGGGTGCACTTAAGAGAGATTATCCCAATACCGTTCCGATCACTCCACATCGACCATTTGGGACCGTTCCCCAAAAGTAAGAAAGGGAATCAGCACATCATTGTTTTGGCCTGCGCTTTTTCCAAATACGTAATTTTGAAAGCTGTACGAAACACCAAATCAGCACCAGTAATTAGCATGCTACGAGAGGTGATGACCACGTTTGGTCAACCGGTTCAACTCACAACCGATCGCGGAACAGCATTCACCTCCAAAGACTTCGAAACATTTTTACAAGCTCACGACGTACAACACATAAAAATAGCCGTAAGGACACCACGAGGCAACGGTCAAGCAGAACGGGTCAATAAGACTATTTTACCAGCTATACGATCGATGATGAAGACTACGAAAGAGTGGGACTTAACTTTGCTCACACTATGATGAGTCCGAACGAAATCATTTTCAACTACAACTTACGAGACTACAGTCAAAACCGTTTGATCCAGGCACTTCACGACGAACCGGATCCGCAAGATGAGAACAAGCGAGATGAGTTACTTACTCGAGCAAAAGAGAATATCGAAGCAGCACAATCGAAATGGCAACAACGATTTAATGAACGTCATCAACAACCGACACGGTACAATGAAGGTGAGCTAGTGATGCTCAGCAATGTGTCGACAGCCACGGGAGAGACCCACAAACTAGACGCCAAATACAAAGGTTCATATGTGGTCACCAAGATATTGGACCATGACCGGTATATTGTCGAGGACATACCGGATGCACCGGTGACCCAGCGACGGTACTGTAGTGTACTATCCAGTGAACACATGAAACGATGGTGTCAGCTTAACCCACAACTCGAGGTAGACGACAGCGACGGCAGTTCGTCAGATGCCTAACCGAGGTCGGTTAGTGATAGTCAGGAGAGGCCGAGCTGTAAAGTGAGAATGGGGAGAGGGAGCGAGCAGTCAGTCAAGTACGAACAGCCAGGCGGAACGGTTCAATAACCGGACATTGAATTGAATACTTTTAACTCTGTATCATATAATTTAATAATAAACATTCCATTTAATTGTTATACTACTACCCGGGTAACATCTTGACATATGTATAAGCGCACTATTTAGTTTGCTCGATTTGTAAACAAAACTTCTCAGCGGTGAAAAATATACTACTGTAAACAGCCTAACCGAGCGAAATTCACAATAGCGCTATTCTTCATCGAATGAACGTACCAAACGAAAATTCGTTCGATCAGCACTTTCGACCACAGTTGCAGTTTCACAAGCAAAGTTTCATATAAAAGAGAGCGCGTAACACCATATAAATATATCAAATTTGCAATGTTTATTTTATTTTTAACAATATAAAACGCGTTTAATAATTTCACTACTCTTCTCCGACAAAGTAAACAAGCAAACAAATCAAAATGGCTGAGATGGTGAATATAAAGGTTGCTACCACATGTTCGAAAATTCAACAAACTAAAACGAAGGGATTTTCAACAATCGACCTATGCTTCGTAATGATCTCGATAACAGTAAGGAATAAATGAGTATAATGTGTTTTTAAAATATGTTAAACAAAGAGCTCTCATTCGCATTTGTACTACAGAAGGTGGAGGTTGTATTTGTCTAAGTATTTCTTGTGCCTATTGTGAGTGTGAAGTGTGTGTCAATTGTTAAGTGTAAAAGTTGGATGTTCTATTGTAAAGACTAGGTATTAAACTCCTAGAAAAAAAAAACCAAAAATCTGAAAAAAAAAAAAAAAAAAAAAGAAACTTGTGCTAGTGCTTGATCCAGACGTTCTTACTAAGGTGAGTGCTACAGTTCTTTGTGATTGGCGGCAGCCAAAATGGACAGCGACGCCTCGGCGTCAGAGAAGGGGGAGCCAAACCAGGAGCTGGACACCAATCCAGCGTCAGACTGGTTTGAGGTAGGTAGAAACAGAAAACAAGCTGCAAGGAAAAGACAGATGAATAAAACTACAAAGGGGGGTCTTCCAATAGCTGAGTCAGAAACAGACAACGACTGTACCAAACGGACGGACACAGCAAGTACTACCAAAAAATCTAAGACAGACCAAGCTAACGGCACTTGCATCCCGTTACAAGGAATGTTAGTGAAGAGAGGAACATACGCAAAAACGACGACAAAAAACTTAACGGGCACTGCGGACATGAACAGCGAAAACAAGGAGAAAGAAACTTACAAACACTCTGACTGCGAACAAACACGTGCGACAGAAAGCAAAGGTGCGAACAACAGGGAAAAAGAAAAAGAACACATGGACAGTGTGTGCTATACAAAAAGGCACAGGGGAGATTATTGCGTTCTGGTGGACACCTCAAAATCCAACACGATAAACAACGAAAAAATGCGCAATGGCCTATTCCTTTGGGATATTATAAGACATTTTAATATTGAGGGGATTAAAAACATAAAAGCCATAGGTAGATCACTCTACAAAATTTTTTTTGAAAATTTTGAAGCTGCAAACAAGTGCGTTAGCAATCCCGACTTAATTAAAAATCAAATGAGACCCTTTATACCAAGAAGCTTGGTAGAAACAACTGGTGTTGCTAGACAAATACCTCTTAACTTCACTGAGGAAGAAATAAAAGAAAATATCATTTCAGATATTCCTGTGACAGCTATCTCAAGAATTACCAGAAGAGATCCCAATGACAAAGAGAAGTTCATTCCAACTCTCTCTGTGAAAATAAGTTTTGAAGGCAACGAACTACCAGAAACCATAGACATTTTTTGCGTAAAAATCAAAATGGTTCACTACATTCCTAGAGTTAGGCATTGTTACAACTGCGGCAGACTAGGGCACACAAAAATGGCCTGCAGAGCAGCCAACAGATGCATTATCTGTGGCAAGGCAGAGGGCTGTAGTAGTAAATGCAATGAAACCACAAATTCGTGCATACTATGCGGAGGGGATAATCACAATTCACTCGAGAGCAGGAAATGTTCTAAATGGGCCAGAGAAAAACAGGTGGTCGAAATTATGACAATAAAAAAAGTATCTAAGTCTGAGGCGATTGGGATGTACAATTTAAACAATAATAACCGTTTCTCAGCTCTAGAAAACTATGAGGGAAATTTTCCACAGTTAGAAGCAAAAAGTACAGCAAGGATCAACAATGATGAAACAGTAAATAGAAAACTCACTACATATAAATACAATTATGTAGTTAGAAATCATCAAACCCACACAACAGCTACACCTAACCATTCCAAAATCTTGCCGAAAGCTACAACCAAAACACAACCCGTCTATGAAATGCCGAATTGGTCTAAGGTCACAGAGATTGAAAAGCTTGTAAATCTCCTTATAAAAAGGTACGACATTGACGTTAATGACCCCTTGGTTAACCTAATTCGCAATATAGGCGCAGTACACATTGAAGACAAAACTCCAAGTAACAAAGATGACAAGTCCAATAAAAATATTACAATATAACGTACAAAGCCTTAAAAGTAATAAAAACTATGTAGACTTCTTTAACACTAGTAATAACATTGATATAGTCTGCCTTCAGGAAATTTTTTCGCATGACAACCATACAACTCAACACAATTTAATGAACTTCAACTTACTCAGAAAGACTAGAATCGATGGATATGGTGGCGTAGGAATCGGATTTAAAAAAGGTATAAAATTTACGAAAATCAAATTTGTTTCAAATTACGACATTCTAATAGCCAAGACGATTAATCTTATTAATAATTTAACTATTTGCAATATTTATTTTCCTCCCAACCTTGACACTTTAAATTTTACTAACGAACTGAACCGTGTAGTACTTTTTCTTAACAATCATGAAAACGTTATTATAGCAGGAGACCTCAACGCTAGGCATCAAGTGTGGGGAGACAGAATATGCAACACCAAAGGAAAAATAGTTGTTGACGAAATCAGGAACACCAATCTCCAGTGCATCAACAGTGGAGCAATCACTCACCGCACCGGTAACAGTGCAGGAACGGCAATTGACATAACTCTGACCAACATTAACAGCAGTTACACAAAATGGCACTGTCAACAAGTCCATTTGGGAGGCAGTAAGCATTTCCCCATCATCGTTGAAGTCACTAATAGCAGCAAAAAGCCCAACTATTTCATCCCCAAGGAACGACTCGCCCAGGAACTTGCTCAGTTAAAATTCTCTGACTTAGAAAATATCACGACAGAAATAGACAGCGTTAGGAACAGGATTAAAATTGACTTGAACACATCCAGGCGTACCCCTAAAAACTGGTGGAGTGATGACCTCAAAAAACTGTACAGATTACATGTCGCTAAACGCAAAAAAGCTAATCATACTAACAATGTTGAAGACATGGAAGCCTCAATTATAGCAACTAGTGACTGGAAAGAAGCGGTGAAGGCGGCAAAGAAAGCGAGCTACAACAGTAAAATTGAGGAGATAAACACTTGCCCCAACTCGACACAGGCGTGGAAATTCATAAGAAATGTCAAAGGCAATAAGCGCGCGTCTCACAATTGGGCAGCTGAAGATGACCGAAACTACTTAGAACTGATAAGGAATCAAGCTCAAGAAGCCAGCAACCCTTGTAATGTCATCACTCCAACCACCGCTGCATCAGTAAATGCCAACAACAGCGTTGACTTTTCATACAGCACATTCGAAAATTTATTAGCAAGAAAAAAATCTACTGCTGGGGGTTTCGACAGAATTACGTTTAATACATTAAAGCAATTGTCCACTGAGTCCAAACAGTAGTTATTAGACGCCCTAAAAGAACATTTCTACAGCAACAGGGTCCTAGACGCATGGAGACAAATAAAGGTAATTCCAATACCGAAAGCAAACAAAAACACTGAGGACATAAATAACTTTAGACCCATTTCACTCATATCTGTCGTAGTAAAGAGCATTAATATGATGGTGAAAGAATCGCTGAACGAGTTCCTGGAGACAAGCAATAGACTTCCCAAGAAGAGCTACGCCTATCGAAAAATGAGATCAGCAACAATGTGCATTAACGAAATGCTACACCTTATAGCAGAAAGAAAGAAATGTAGGGAATATGCTATGATTTGTTTCTTAGATATGTCGGACGCCTATAATAGAGTAGATCTTGTTACACTTCATAATATTCTTCTACAATTCAACATTGACCCAACAATTGCAAACTGGATTAACAACTACTTTTCTAAAAGACATCTGACCCTAGGTAATCACACTGTTGAGGTAAACTCAGGCCTACCTCAAGGTAGCTGCCTTTCCCCAACGCTATTCAATATTTATACAGCCCAACTGCACGAAATTAATAACTCTCAGACTCTACTATTTCAGTTTGCCGACGATCTTGCGTTAATATCCACTGGCACAAACAGATTCTCTGCAGCTCAAAATTTACAAAACAAAATAGAAGAATTACAGGCAAAATGCGACAGCTTAAATCTCAAATTTAATCTGAACAAAACAAAATTCATGTATATGTCTGCAAACAATAAACAAACCTTTAGTGTATCCATCAACGGCCTAAACATTGAACAAGTCCATCACTTCAAATGGCTGGGAAGAACAATTAGCGCGAACTCAGCCATTAAGGTACACATTAGTGAAATTAAAAAAGCAACAACTTCAGGTAAAAACCTTATTTCTAAATTAACATCTATCAAGTCAGGTATTTCACCTAAAACTGCTATAAATCTTTTTAAAGCGTTTGTACGATCCAAAGCAGAAAATGCCAACACCAGTTACGCCAATGCCCCTAAAGGGTATAACAAGCAGCTACAAACCAATGTAAATGAAACGTTGAGGAGATGCCTCGGAGTTCCTCCAAACACTCCAACACTCATGAGATACGCGCTGGCTTGTGAACTTCCACCTCTTCCCAGAGCTGTATGGCTTACGGCCAAGGAACTTGTCAAACAGTGGTTGATCAATCCTGAACTTAGAATACAGATCCAGAACAGACCTCCCATAAATTCCAGCTACAGCATAACGTACGAAAAATTTAAAGCAATTATCAACACCATAGATACAAATGTAGCTTTCAAAAGACACCATAACCTCACCTGCTACGAATCTGAATTGGCCCAGTCCAAAAAGAACGTTACCCCTACACAACTCAGAGCTATCTACAACCAAAAAATTAACACGCTAAAAGAGGAAGGTTTCAAAGTGTATGCCACTGATGCATCGGTGTCAGATAACAAAATTGGCTGTGCAGTCTATGTGGTAACGGCTAACGTCTCATACCTGTTCAATATAGATGGAAACTTCACATCAACTTACGGTGAGCTAGTAGCACTTTCTCAAGCAATCACGATAGCCATTAATAATGATAGTAAAAAAGTAGCAATCTTTACAGACAGTCAGAGTGCAATTAAGGCCCTAAAAAGCCGCACCACACACAATTTCCTAGTAGCTGAAATCCATAACAAACTTTATCACTCCCAAATAGAAAACATTGCAATAGTCTGGACACCTAGCCATGTGGGTATAACCATAAATGAAAAAGCGGATATAGCAGCAAAAACAGCAGTTGACCATGGTAAATCTTTACCCCCAAAACTCACACCTTGTGAAGCACTGAGAAGGATTAGCAAAATGTTGTGGACTGAAGCCAAACAAGAATTTACCAACAAACTTCCAAACTGGGACTCGGACATAGTAGAATTTTGCACGCCCAAAGAAAAACAGCCATGGTTTAAAAACAAAAATGTAGACTTAGAAGCATACGACATAAAACTTTTTAACAGAATAGCTACTGGACACACGTACGGTAGCACTTATTTAACCAAATTTCAGCATTACAGATCAGACAATTGCAGCGCATGCAACATAAAAGAAACTCCTGAACACCTCATATTTGATTGTATCAAATATAACAACTTACGTAATGATAATTCTCTTTTCCGAAACTACCAAAATTTCAAACAGATTCTTCTTTCAAAACTGCCTGCCACATACAAACAACTGGCCGACTTTCTACATAGAAGTGGGCTGGATAAAGCACTATAAACAAAAAAAAAACAAAAAAAGGTAATATATAGAAGACAAAAACAAACAAGGTATTGAATGAAAAAAAACAAAAAAACAACATAAGAATTTTAGAAAAAAAAAAATTTAACTTAGAAAGTATTAAAATATACAAAACTATTGTATGTTTTATACAAATGAGATAAAATATACTCAACTGATTAGTTTCACTACTAGTTATATATCAACTTATAACATTCGTTTAAACAAATGTACTCAATCTGTCATTCTATGTTTGTGTTTTCAGTCTTGGTGTATTGTCTTATGTAGTCTTGTGTTGTTCTTAAATGTCATAAAATAAGAATGAGGAAAGCAGCTGTTACGCTAACATCAGCCAGAAAGAAGCAACATCAAGGAGTCGTATAATAAAACACTCTTCAACGCGGAATTTCAACAAAACACGTCGATACAAGATAAATGGAAGCAACATTGTCCAGCAGTTTAGCCGAAAGATTACAACTAACCAAACAATCGTTTGCAGATAGACTGGTGTTATGCTAAAGGAAGCTGTAATCCACAGCGTTTGGGACAAATAGCATTTCGACTTAGAAAAGAAACACTAACGTATTCAAATGGTATAAGACAACGATAACCACTGAATACATCACGTTTTAATAACCGGCTATTTAAGGTGTATAAACCTAGCCATAAGTGGAACGTTCGATTTGTTCCTAAAGCCCCAAAAAAAAAAAAAAAAAAAAAANTTTATTTTTTCTCGGAAAGGTGTTCTCTGCAAAAGGTGTTAAGCCCCTTTTCTTCGCAAAACAAAATGAGAATTCTACTTAGTGAGGGTTATAATCCCTACGCAGAGTAATGTTCTCTGCAAAAGGTGTTCAGCCCCTTTTCTTCGCAAAACAGAAAGGATAATTATACTTAGTGTTGGATCGCAAAGCGTTTTCTACGATCGTGCAAACTAGCCAAGTGAAAACAGCTAAATCCAAATGGAGCAAAATAAATTGGCTGAGTAAGTTGGAAGCCAGTAGGTTAGTGGTCAACAATAGTCTGATTTATTATTTCCAAATTTCACCCTTATATACAATTTCCATGTGCATGTGAAAAACGCTAGTCCAAAATAAACTTCAAAAAACATAAACAAGTGTAACGCTATTTGCACTTAGTATCAATACATGTTGTTTGTAATTAGAAAGGGTAAAATCAACGCAGTTTAATATTAACTTAAGCATGCATATCATGTACTACATGTTTGTATGTATGTTTGCTAACTAAGCTACAAAGCATGTATGTGTTGCCAAACATGGGATTTTCCTACCTAAACTGGTAGTTAGTTTTGAATTTGGTAGGTTGGTAGGCTTGATGGGATTTTGGTAGGTTCCGTAATAGTTATTTGCGAAAAATAGAAAATAAGTATTTCCAAACTTTCTAGCAAGCTTTTTTACATGAATATTTCACCGGTGCGTTCGTATAACGGTGGCCGCAAACATGTTAATATACCTGATTCCTAAGTACAAACGTATTTCCTGGACCAAATAAATCTGCCAATGGGATCGTACCGAACCATATTCCAGGCGGAGGTCTTCACAATCGAAGTCTGTGTTCGCGAATGTCATCATAGAAGGCAAATGAGGCCAGGATATATATTATGTCAGATATCTAGGCAGCGTTAAAGCCCTTAGGGCCGGTTGCTCAAAGCCTGGTTGACACTAATCCCCGGTTAAACATCGTTATCGACGTTACCGACACCGTGTTATATGCATGGAGTCGAAAACGTTGATATCGATAATAACCGATGATTAGTGTCAACCAGGCTTTGAGCAACCGGCCCTTAGACTCTTTTAAAACAAGATCAAGGCTTGAGAACTCTTGAACCACCTGGGAGCCCACAATAGCGTAACGCAGTGGTGGGTTCCGGGACATGAAAAGTTTAAAGGCAACGAAAGGGCTGACTGTCTCGCAAAGCGTGGAGACTAAGTACCGCTTGCATGCTCCCGAGCTATTCTGTGCTACATCTAAAGGATACACTGCAGAACTACTTAGGAGCTAGCTGGAAATAATCTCAGGTTACAGCCCACTGGTGGAAGTAAAAGGGAATAAGACAATCAATTCATAACTCCTTCCAGGGAGAACTCCGAAGTACCACTTGAATTATATGGGTCTTTCTGTAGACACCGACTGTAGGTTTTGTGGGCTGGTGGGGGAAGCCCAGTATATTCTATGTGCCTTCCCACGAAGCATGAATCGTAAATTGATACACCTCGGAGAAAAATTGACTTCTCCATCTAAAAGTTGGAACATGGCAGCATCCAAAGCGCTTAGCTTTTTAAATAACCTAAGGTTGGAGTGATTACAATTAAGGTGTAGCACAATATATTAACTTAGATCGCAGCGCGAGTACCTCCGAAGTAATAATAATAATAATAATATCGTCACTAGACAAGAATAAAGACGGGCGGTTGTTGGACGGAGAAAAAGGACGCGTGAAAAAAATTTAGGAAAAAGACGCTTAAAAAAACTTCGGCGAAGAAAGACGTGTAAACATGGATTCAACATCATTCCGGAAAAGCCCTTTGTGGAATTCGTATCCCGTTACTAGTAAACATAGTTAACCGCGAAAATAAGTGTATGCGTCTTTCTTCCCCGTCAAAGAGGTTAACGCGTTTTTTCCCCGTCACCTATGTTAAGAGTCTTTCTTCGCTGAAGTTTTTTTACGCGTCTTTTTTCGCGGTCAACATTTGAGCTCGCGTCTTTGTTCGTATCTATGACGATATGCACTATGTATGTGCAAAGAGACATAAATTTGGATACATCTGTACAGCAAAATGAATTGTTATACCCAGTTAATTTGTTTTTATTGTTTATGTTATCTATATTTTTAATAAACTTGACATTGAAAAATTATATTAAACACTCAAAGAAATGTTTGGTAGGTTTTGGTTGGTTATGGTACGAAATTTTGGTAGGAAAAAATATTTGACTGTGGCAACACTGGAAGAGTGGTTAAAAAAATGGATGCAAATAATTTACGTATGTAAGAACATTTAGCGGTATGACTTAATGCAATAATAAGGTGAATGACTTTGCGTAGCTAAACTTGATAATTAGTTTAGGTAATTAGCTAAGAAGTAAGTAAATAGAAGGCAAATATCAATACAGCTGATGCAGGTGTTCCCAACCATGACCCAATATCCCGGACCGGTTGAAAGGCCTTTCAAACAGGTAGCACTGCCAATTTATGAACTGGGCGCCGAATTCCTCTTGGTTTTCGAATGTCAACCACACGGATTCGAGAGACCTTTCCTGGTATACAATTGATTACTCTCCCAAGATGCCATTTCTGTGGTGGTACGTTGTCTTCGTGGATGATGACCATTGTGTTTTCGTTGATGTTGGGACGATCCCAAAACCAATTTGAGCGTGCTTGAAGCTCATTAAAATATTCGTGAGACCGTCTTTTCCAAAATGCTTGCTTAATTCCTGTCACTTGGGTCCATCGCTGCGAGTTGTCTATATTAGTCGATATGGTTTTCTCCGGAAGAGCTAGTAGGGAGCTGCCAATGATGAAATGTGCAGGTGTTAGTGCCTCGTAGTCGCTTGGGTCTGCTGATAATGGTGATATCGGCCGGGAATTCAATACCGCCTCTTTTCTACCAGAACTGTCGATAACTCTTCAAATGTCAGTCTAGCTCTGTCATTGCTGCAGTTGAGATGACCCTTCGTTGACTTGACTGCCGCCTCCCATATACCGCCAAAATGAGGAGCTCTAGGGGGTATAAAATTAAAGTTTATAAATTCATTAGCACAATAATTTATGTTTGCATTTTTATTTTCATGTTTTGAATAGAAATGCCTTTAAACCTGCAAGTTTGCTACAAGCTCCGACAAAGTTTGTAGTCCTCTGTAGACCTCTTCTCCCAATCAATCAATCTTTAGTGATGCCAAAAATGCGTCTGTGGATAAGCCGGTTACGGTTTCGATATGCACTGTCTTTGATGCAAGGCATACGAAGATCGCGATATACGCCTTGTAAGGTGTCTTGCCACGATTCCGTAAGTAAACGTTGACTGGTCCACAGAAGTCGATGCCACAGCGCACGAAGGGGCGTGATGGAGTAAGCCGCCCGACTGGTAAATGTCCCATGACTTGTTGTTAAAGTTTTGGTTTGTATTGTACGCAGTGTATGCATGACCTCACGATCCGCCTTGCCACGTCGCGTGCGTTTATTATCCAAAATTGCAGTCTTATCAATGCTACGAGTGCCTTAGGTCCAGCGTGGTAGTTTTTCCGATGAAGATGTCGATCTTTCTGCAAAAGATGAATTTCATTAGAAAAATGTTGTTGCTGAATATTCCAAAGTATGCATAGTAAGCCGTGATGCAGCTCCTGTGGTGAAAGTGGCTCCGTGTTGTTCGAGGTAGCAGTGTGTCTTAATTTCTTGCTGTAACGGAAAATCCAGGCAACCAATCGAAGCTTACTAACGTACGAACTGCGATGGTTGATGATTTCTAAAATGTAGTTGGTACTTACAACCGGTTTAAATGCTGATTTCCGTTTTTCACTTTCAATGACTTCCAGGTCTAGGCTATCGCACTTATTCCTCGGCAAGTTTTCCATCTCCTTGTATAAAAACTTGGGGTCATCATACCACATTGATTTGGACAGCTCATTCACGGTGCATCCTCTAGATATTATGGCCGCTGGGTTGTCTTGTGTGGGAACGTGCCTCCATTGGATTTCCGACATCCTGTTGCCGACAAAGGTTGATAATGTAGCTGAATGCACTTTTAGCCAATGTATCTGCGAGTCTGTCCAAAGAAAAACATTAAAAGATTTATCAGAAAAAAATTGGTATAATATTAGCAAGTAAACGAGCGAGAAGAACAGCGCCACAAAGCTCCAATTTCGGCAGTGATTGTTTTTTCAACGGTGCAACTCTTGATTTTGCTGTGAGCAAGCGAACGAATGTTGCTCCATCTTTGCTGACAATGCCATGCAATTGGAATAACTGAGCACCTACCGAAAGGCAATACCTATGCACCTTGATTAACGAAAGGTCCGATATTTCGCTGAGAAAGCTCTTCCACGCATATTCGATGGTTTGGGGAACCGTCTCATCCCAGTTTAACTTCAGGAGCCGTAATTCCTGCAAAAGGATTTTTGATTTTATGATTACTGGAGCCGGGAGACCAAGAGGATCGAATAGCGATGATGCCGTGGAAAGAATCGACCGTTTGGTGATGCAATTAGTTGATCGCAAAGGTGGTTGAAAAGAAAAAAGGAAACAATCGATGTTTTGGTCCCATTTCATTCCAAGTGTGCTTGTGATAGACGTATCCAAATTAAGATCCTTAGCTAAACTGTCTTCTCTGAACCGTTGTTGATTAGAGTGCTATTTAGCTAATTTAAATCCACCTAAATCTAGTAATTGAGTTACCTCTTGCCTTATTTGCTCCGTATAGCTAAGTATGGAGCGGATGCCATTCCATAAGTTACCGTATTGAGTTGATATGTCGAAACCTCCTCAGTGGGTGAACTCCTCCATAAAATATATTGGTATTTCCGGTCGTCTTCGTGCATTACAACTTGCCGATACATTTTGATGATGTCGGCGGTGAGCGCATACCGATAAAGCCGAAAGCGCAAAAGCAGAATGAATAGTTCAGCTTGCAAAGTAGGTCCTACTATCTGTAAATCGTTAAGCGATTTTTGGGTTGTCGTTCGACAGGATGCATCGAATACGACCCTCAGCTTGGTTGTTGTACTTGTTGGCTTAAGAACACAGTGTTGAGGAATATAATAATGTGGTTCATTTACCTTTGGGTTTTCCACAACGCTCATGTTTCGCAAACCTTTGTATTCATCCATGAATTCGATGTAGTGCGCCTTTAGAAGAGGTAACTTCTCGAAACGACGTCCTTGTGCATGAAACCGTCTCAAAGCCGTTACGTATGAGTCGCCCAAACAACTAGGATCATCCTTCAAGGGCAATCTTACAACTATTCTGCCACAGGAGTTTCTGGAGACTGTATTGAGATATAATCGTTCGCAACTGTGCTGTTCACGAGTCCAAGGATCCGCGGCAGTAGCAACTTCCTCCAATTTCCACAATTTCTCCAACCATGCATCCAGAGATTCATTAGCTGTAAGTAAATGTTTGATATCGTCCAGACACGACCCATCCTAACAGCGTTTTTGCAGTATTGGCAAATTAGTTCCTAGTTTAATTTGACCGACAGACAGTAGGCTGAAAAACGTTTCAGTACCTAACAACAAGTCGACCTTCCCTGGCACGTGGAATTCCTCATCTGCCAATGTAGTATTACCTGGGATGTTCCATGAAGAAATGTCGATTTCTGGATCCGGTTGATAGGCAATGTGGGTTGTGATGCAGAAGGTCAATGGGAGCTTGAAACCAGTGACTACCGATTTGGTATTAGTTGTTGTTTTATACTTGATATTGGTCGACGACTTACCAATGCATTGGATTTCAATATTCTGCTTACTTCTTGACAACCTTAATTTTTGCGAAAATTCATTCCTGATGAAGTTAACCTGGGAACAGGAGACCAACAGTGCCTTACCCAATTTGTAGTTGCCAGATGAGTCACGAACCCAAACCTTTGCAGTTGCAAGAATGATGCTGTCACTGGACGAGTTTTTCATATGTGTATGTACAGTAGCCTCCGTTGTTGAAGATGAAGGACTTGTGGCTTGTTGGTTTGGTGCTGATCCACGATGAAGTAGAGTGTGGTGTTGCCTTTGACAAACCTTGCACCGATGCGATGATTGGCAATGCGTTACTTGATGCCCCTTTGAAAGGCAATTGATACACAGACCAAACTTCTTTGCATTATCAAAGCGCTGAGCGATGCTAAGTGCCTTGAAGCGCTTGCACTTCAAAGGTTTATGGCGTGAATTGGAACAAATTGGACATGGTGTGTTGGAGCAAGAAAAAGCGTATCCTCGTTGCTGGCCCTTTGACTTGCTTGATGGCGATTTGTTGGTAACAGGGTTGCTGGTGTGAGCGCTGTCAATAGACTCCTAATACTGGCAGTGTCTCTCCAATATCCTAGTGCAGTCTTCCCATGTTGGAAATGATTTGAAATCTAGTGATTCTTTCAATTTCTTGCTGGTTTGTTCATCGGACTTCTGCAAAACTAAATAGATTAGCATAGCTTGTGATATTTGCATGTCAGTACCGAGCGACAAGAGAGATCCATATTTGATGAAGCCTTATCGATAAGACTTCTAAGCTGAATACCATTTGTTTTAGTAACAACTGGTAGTTCGAACAATGATGAAATATTTTCCAAAAAAATTATTATCATAGCGAGCCTTTAGCCTATCCAATGCCTTTGGATAATTCTCATTTGTTACCTGAAATGCGTCCACTGTTTCCAACGCTTGACCTTGTAGGCAATTCCGCAGGTGATTGAATTTTTCATTGTTGGACAAGCTATACTCACGATCAATTATCTGCTATCCTCGGCATCCAACCTTTCGATGTCTGTCTGAGTCGTCAGGATTTGCTTGAAATAAGATTCCAGGATACCGAGGCGGCACTTGCATTCAGCAGGTGAAAGTGCTTTTCCACCTGATCGCAAACTACCGTCGATGATATTTTTGATTCGAGTGATGTTTTTCTTGACATTTGCACGTTGTTGCTTTAGCAAATCCAATGACATTCTGTATCAATTTGCAAGTATAGTGGTTACTTACGTTTGGGTGGACGACGGAAGGCAAACCAGTAGCGGCGGCGTAATGGTGGTGAAACAGGAGTCCAGAAGAGACCAGTAGAGACCACAAAACTAGTGCTGCTGGGCAATGGTTATGGCAATTAGGTTCCAATATTCAACGAGGATGATAAAGTCCAGCGGTGTAGTCCAATGGTGGAGTTCCGTGCTGATGACCAAGTGTCCACGAAATACCAGATGCGAATACTTACTCGAGCCCCACGTTGGGCGCCAAAATGTTGGGTCGCAGAGCGTTTTCTGCGATCGTGCAAACTAGCCAAGTGAAAACAGCTAAATCCAAATGGAGCAAAATAAATTGGCTGGGTAAGTTGGAAGCCAGTAGGTTGGTGGTCAACAATAGTCTGATTTATTATTTCCAAATTTCACCCTTATATACAATTTCCATGTGCAAGTGCAAAACGCTAGTCCAAAATAAACTTCAAAAAAGATAAGCAAACAGTACATGCTGTTGGTAATTAGAAAGGGTAAAATCAACGCAGTTCAATATTAGGTTCATTCCTTATCTTTTTGGACTAAAATCTGAAAAGTGTCAAAATGCCAGAGCGTAAGCAAAATGCGCTCACTAAAAGAGAATAACAGGAAAAGTAAAGGAACGCAAAAAACCAAATTTTTAGTCCAAAGAATGGCAACAACAAAACTAACGTCAAATAAGAACAGAAATGTATGTACAAAACACATTCACACAAGCACAAGCACAATAAACACTTGCTATATCAATTATTTTTTGCCTCCTTCCAATTTCAATTCATTTCTTTTACTTTTTAGATTATTCTCACTTTTAGCGTATTCTTTAATTTCCGTTAATTTAAATTCAGTTGAGTTTGACACTTTTCAGGATTTTGCCAGAAAAAATTCTTCTGACTAAATCTGACTACTTCGGACTTTTTCTGACTACTTCTGGGAGATAAGGAACGCTCCTATTAACTTATAGGAAATTTACATGAGGCGATTTTATAGGCGATTTTTAGTTGAAAGCAACAATCGCCTGGTGTAAACGGCCTTTGAACTAATCGCTTTCAATGAAGTTGGTCGTCTGCCTACTTTCGTTCAACTTTTGGTTCAACTAATCGCCTGTGAAAGTTGAATCATGTAAAATCCCTATTAAGGGCCGTTTGCACCATGTCTAGTTAATTCTAACTCCCAGTCAAGGTACATTGAACAGGTAGTATCAGTAGAGCAGCTGATTTGATTTATTTTCAAATTATTTGGTCTCGAAAATGTCAAATATTTTTAATTTTTTCTCACGAAAATTATAAGTTGTTAAAATCCATTTGCTTGTGAAACCTTTTTCCATACAAAACAAGCGATTGAATAGCAGCTTTTGGAACGTTCGCCCAACTCGGCAGCACGACCGCTGATTACTGGGCCTTGCAAAGGATGGATCAATGCTTCGAGAAGCAAACAAATTTACTAGGAAAGAAAGTTGCATCAATTTTTATTTTTTCCAATTTCAATTTTTTATTTTTTATAATTTTTTGTATTTCACATGGCACGCTTTGATTTAGAAGAAAAAATTCAGAACAGTTGTTGACACTTTCGATACCAGAAGCAACAACAAAATACACGCAAATGTTGTTTTTGCTCTACTGATACTACCTGTTTAATGTGCCTTGGTCCCAGTTAAACATCTTTATCGACGTTATCGACACCCATCATATAACATGCGATCGATAAAGCAGTTAACGTGCTTAACTGAAGGATGTACCTCCAGTTAGCGTTAACTAGACATGGTGCAAACGGCCCTAAGCATGCATATCATGCAAGAACGATAGAATACAAGATTGCGCATTCCCGCAGAATGACATTTGTGGCAACGGGTAAACATAGAATTTGGCGAAGAATAATGTTTTGACAGTTGTGAATTTGCAGTGAGAAAACGTGTTTTCTTCTTGATTCACCAATTTCTCAAGCCATCTTTGAATATAGCAAAGTAAGCACTACGTTAAAAAAAATATACAACCACTCTTGAAATGTGTTCAAAAGTATAGGTCTTATTAATTAACTATTTAGATTTTTTGTGTTTGTATTGCAGGTGCCGAAAAAGTGATAATATCTTGTCGCAGCGCATGTTTTCCTGCAGAAAGTGGTCGATGCTTGCTTATCTCCTATTTTAATTTGTAATTTGTGGTATTTCAACGTTTTCAACTTAACATGCCGTGTTTAAAAGTGGTCCGTAAAGTGCTTCATTCATACTACGCTGGTGTCTAAATGGTATGGCTTCTCCTGCCGGCAGAACTCTACCCACTTTCTGGCCAAGGCGTCGTCGCGGGGAAACAAAAAAAAACTGCATTTGGGGGCTTTACCTCTACGGCTGCTGCAATTCAACACACGACACGACATTTTTATATAGTTTTTATTACAAATAATACGTTTTTTACTTCAGAACGCACGAATTACTTCGATTTTTAACTTGAAAGTACACAATACGTTTGCACTTGTTTCTAAACAAAAAGTTTGTTTACGTATTGCCATAAATGTCAAAGTCGGCAAAACCAAAGTAGCGGTTTCGGGAATGCGCCACCTTCAGTTCATTTCACCATGCATATCATGTACTACATGTTTGAATGTATGTTCGCTCCCTAAGATACAATGCATGTTTGTGTGCATGAACGAAAGACACAAGATCACGCGGGAAGGAAAGAACGAAGAAAGTTATTTTCTAGCTGCCGAAATCTCAACGCCATCTTTGTTGTAAGAAGTAAACAACGAAGAGAACGAAGAAAACCGCGAAATTGTTGAACGCATGAATAATCATTTTTATTATGCAAATTCTTCTATAAATCATGCTGTTGTGCTAAATTATTCTTTACCTTATGTGTACACACGTTGTCACAGGCGAAAAAGAAGAAACTATTTCCTAAATGCGATTCTAACGGGCTACTCTCCTGCCCGCGTGATCTTGTATTTTTGGTTCATGGTTTGTGTGTATGTTCGCTAAGCTAAGATGCAATACAAGTGAGTGGGTTTGTTCGCTAAGCTAAAATGCAATACAAGTGCACGATCCAGAAAATAAAGGTCGCGCCATTCGCGGACCGCTAACCCTCTCTTCGTCGATTTGACAGCATCCACCCATTCGCTGACGTCACACAATACTTTTGTTTACATTTTCTGGTTCGTGGCGGAAAAGTGGATCCAGTTCTGCCGGAGACCAACGGATTTCAACGCCCGAACCAGCGTCATCTGTGTAAAACACTTCACCACTGATGACTTCGAGAACGAGCTACCTACGAGAACCTATAAATTGAATCCGGCATCAGATCACATATTTGTTATTTGAAAATATAACACGTTCCCCTGATAAAGCTTTTTATTTATACATACTGACCTTCTGCTTCCTACCGGAAATGTTAAGCCGTATGCATAAAAACTAAGCAAGCTCTTTTTTCTTGAAATTGCATACCTTTCACTTAAATTTGTTTGAACATAATTGTCGCAATTAACACCCTAACTATTGCAGATCCGGCAGCACGGCGAAACAGATGGGAGGCAAATACAAAATTTCACCACACACTTCACGCTTTAATTTCATGTATTTATGTTCTTTATATGTATCATTCCTTTGTATGTATTGTACTTTATGTACTTGTCAAATTCTACCGTTATGCTTGTATAAAAGGGGTACGAGAATTTTCCATTGGCATACAGCTAATTTTTCTGCCATGTCATTTGTACGATCTACGTTTTTATTAAAATAAACTTTCGTGAACAACCGTGAAATTTTTTGCCTGAAGTCTACCGTGCAATTTGCCGTGAAATTTTGCATGAAGTCTACCGTGCAATTTGCCGTAAAATTTTGCCTGAAGTCTGCCGTGCAATTTGCTGTAAAATTTTGCCTGAAGTCTGCCGTGCAATTTGCTGTAAAATTTTTCCTGAAGTCTTCCGTGCAGTTTGCCAACGTGCAAATATAAAGTTTTTATAAATTGATGACGAGATCGCGTAGTGGGACTGGCAATGAAGAAGTGGACGAAGCCGACGAACCCTTCAGCATTGCAGACAATACAATTGTAGAAAATGAAGTTGCACCACCTGCCTCTGCCGAGCAGTTAACAACAGGTGTAACCAGCCAACTAGCAGCGATAGTAGCCAGCATTGCGTCGCTAAATGAATGTTTCAAGGAGCTCCGCAACGAAACGCAAGAACTCCGTGATCGTTTTGGTTCCGAATCCAGCAGTTTGGAAAACGCCGCACTTCGACCATCAACGGTAACAGCAACAGCATCAAGATTGATGCCACAGCCGATAACAGGGGTCACATTTGCCACTCAAACAGTTTCATGGCCAGCGCCACGAGGTGCAGTCGTCACAACAATAGAAAATGGGGCACCTATAATGGAACATAGTCCGGTAGTTCCACCGTTATATACGTTGGCCACGACACCAGCAGCGCTGCCCCCGACATTAACAGGGGTGCAACCTACATTCACAGCACAGCCGCCTTTAACTTCAACGATGCATTTGCATGCCAACTCAGACCTATTTGTCAATGCATCACGCGCTTCGTCAGTGCCACATCAACTACATGCACATGCGCCTCATGAACAGTCATTGGGTAGACCAGCGTATGCGTTGCATCAACCAACGCCACATACTCCGACCGCAGAGCCGCATCAACTAAATGTTTCAGCGACCGCGTTGCATCAGTCATCGTTTCGTATACCAGCAAATGTGTCGCATCAGCCGTCGACGCATGCATTTGTGCCGCAGCACCCTCATGCGTTTGCACCACTTCAACCAACACCGCCTGCGCCTTATGGCATCGAATCGGCCGCATTATACGCCGCCAAATTATATCCACTACCAGAGTTTGATGGCAATCCCGAGGATTGGCCTCTCTTTTTTGCCAGTTACGTTGACACAACGCGAGAATTTAACTACAGCGATCGCCAAAACCTTATGCGTTTACAGAAGGCTTTGATGGGCGATGCTAAACGGTCAGTAACATCGCTTTTTATATTTCCTGAAAACGTTGGGGATATAATAAGCGAACTAAGATTCAATTTCGGGCGCCCAGAGCTGCTGATTCGTTCACAGCTGCATAAGGTGGAACAATTTCCAAGCATAGCGGAGAACCATCTCGAAAAAGTCTTGGCGCTCTCCAGTGAGGTGCGTAATATAACAGCATTTTTTAAATCAGCCAAGTGTGAGCAGCACCTGGTAAATCCGACTTTGCTGGATCAGCTTATTTCCAAGCTACCGCCCTCCAAACAGTTCGAGTGGAGTAAGCACGCATCTACGGTGTCACCATTTGCAACCGTAGAGACTTTCGCCGAATGGATTGGTAATTTAGCCAAAATCATCGCCATTATGCCAAAAATACCTGACAGGAGTACAATGTCAACATCATCCAGAGTTATACACAGAGAAGGTCACAGGGTTGCCAATTCCCGCCGTTTTTTACACAGTAGCGATGGTAACTCAAGTCAACAGCAGAAGCCGATATGTGTGTCATGTAACCAGTCGCACACACTGGAAGACTGCCACCATTTCAAGTCACGCAATGTGGACAATCGATGGGCGCTTGTGA